GGAGTCTGACGATGCGGGGAGTGCCTACCCCTATACACCAGGTGTCCCAGGGCTTCATATGATCCTACTACTGCGGCCTCCAAGGTGACTGCGGGGTCTAGGTCCCGCACCATGAGCCACTTATTGGCGACTGTTAATTGACCTGCCAGAAAATATGAATAGAAGTTAGGGGCCGCCAACCCTCCCTCCCCCCAGGGCAGCTGTAGGATTGATAGTTTTATTCTACGCGCCCTCCCATTCCAAAGGAACTCTGAGAGCATTGTGTCTATGGTTCTAAAGACCCTCCTCGGGATCCAGATCGGTGAGTTACGAAGGGTATATAACAATAACGGGAGTAACTTCATCTTAATCAGATTAACTCTACCTATCAGAGATAGAGGTAAGTTCTTCCAAGCTGAGAGGCGGTTTTTGAACTGGGCAATGACCGGGGAGACATTGAGAGTCATAAACTCTGCTACGGATGTAGATATCGTCAGGCCTAAATATTTTAGTGCTGAAACCTGTTGTAGTTGTGCATGCTGTGAAATGTCTGAGTGACTCAAGGGGTCCAAGGGGAGGTACTGGGATTTAGTCCAATTAACAGACAGCCCTGAGTATGTAGCAAATCTTTGTAAAATATCAAGGGACTCTATCAACGACTGATCCATATCAGCTAGAAACAATATCATGTCATCTGCATATAAGGCCACCCTTTCCTCCAACCCCCCTACACAGAGCCCACAGATCCCCTTGGACTGCCGAATGGCGCTTGCTATTGGTTCGATCGCCAAGGCAAACAAACCAGGGGAGAGCGGGCATCCCTGTCTTGTGCCTCGTAAAATCGGGAAACTCGAAGAAAGTGCCGCACCCATCTTAATGGCAGCTCTAGGTTGATTATAAAGGATAGTAACCCACTTACAGAAGTTGGTGCCAAATCCCAATTTTTAAATTCAAAGAATCTTTAATCCACTAATAAAATTACTTCAAGTAAACCTTTCACCAGAGAAACAGAGGCTGCCATTTGTAGACTTCCTTCGGTACTGTCTGTTCAGCTAACCCTCTGTCTTCAGTATTTTAAAATCACCAACCAGATTAGTAACCCACTTACAGAAGTTGGTGCCAAATCCCAATTTTTAAATTCAAAGAATCTTTAATCCACTAATAAAATTACTTCAAGTAAACCTTTCACCAGAGAAACAGAGGCTGCCATTTGTAGACTTCCTTCGGTACTGTCTGTTCAGCTAACCCTCTGTCTTCAGTATTTTAAAATCACCAACCAGAAAACTTGTACATAGACTTTCCCTTCTTGATATGGATTATTAGTTCAATTTATTTGCACTTAGTATTATTATTTTTTCTGTTAAAGTGAAAACAATGCCTGTAAGATAAACTGGCCTCCTCTTCCTGCATCTGCCTGGGAAGGATGTCTGCTAGAGCCAGGCTCCTGTTCTCGCCCCCGTCTCTGATCCTGCTGGAGTTGTAGCTGTCTGATCATCCCATCCAGGATGCTGGGCTCTTGGTTCTGCGGATCATAATTTGTCTGCTGGCTGATAACTTGTTCCACAACTTCACCATCACCTGTTAAAAAGAACAGAAGCATGACCCAATATAATTCATGTTACAACTCAAGATGTCTTAGCAGGATTGCATTTGGCTTCATAGAGCAATAGATCAGTGTTAGTCCAAACATTTGTGGCCATTCACACGGTAATTTCATTTAATTCCAACCTGTTTTCAGTCGGGAACCAAATAATCAAAATGCTCCCACTGTCTTTCCTCCAATATCATCAGGACTTCACCACATGTACAGAGACTAGGGCTGCAACAACTAAATCGATAATCGTTGTCAACCATTCTCATTATCGATTAGTTGATTTAGCACTCAAATGCTCAGCCACAACCAAACCTGGCCCAACCCGCCCACAACCACCCCTGAACCCCCACAACTCTGTGCAGCCGCTCTCCTCCCAGTCTGTACCACAAGAGGTAGCGGCCATTGCAGGGGAACACAGATTGGCCGTCAGGCACCAGGAGCGCCTAGAGAGATGCCAGAGAGAGGGTGGGTCAGGACACAGTGCGGCGTTGCTGGAAGGTCAGGAGAGGTTTGGAGGCAGTGGGTGTGTGCAATAGCCAGTCTACTAAAAAGCCAATAGCAGGCTGGCTATTGCACCCGCTCACTGCCTGCTATCAGCTGAAGAACTTTCGCCGGTCGACAGCAGGCAGTGGGTCGGTGCAATAGCCAGCCTGCTATTGGCTTTCTCAAATTGCAGTAGCCAATAGCAGGTTGGCTATTGCAAACACAGCAGGTAGTGGGTGTGTGCGCCATTCCCTGGCTGAAGCTATTCAAGCCATGTGATCTTGACTAGTTCCTTTGAAGTAGAAAGGTGCTATCACATAGAGGGCTTGTGGGTGGGTGGCACATTTGGGGTGCTATTGAAATGAATGGCACTGCAACGCACCTTCTGCAGCAGAATTTGTCAAGCCAAAACCCAAAATAACTTTTACCCCACCTTTCATATTTTTTTTTTTATAATTGTATTGTAAGCACATTGTGGCAGCTGCCAGGGAAAGATTTCACAGACGGCAGCTGAATGTAAATAGAGCAGGAAGTGGGCTGGTGCAATAGTCAGCCAGTTAATGGCCATTTCAAAATTGCAGTAGCAGGCTGGTTATTGCACACACCCACTGCTTGCTGTGCTCTCAGCATGGAGGAAAGAGCTAAGGGACCCAACCAACTAATCAAGAATGAGAATAGTTGACAACTATTCGATTAGTTAGTTGCAGCCCTAACTTGAACACAACAATGCAGAGATCTGACTATAGGATATAAAAAACCCGACCAGAAACGGAAAATTTAAAAAATGATTTACTTACTAGTTTCCATGTATCCCAGTTGAGGAATCAGGTGCTCATCCGCACATTTCTCCCTCCCGGGGACCAGGCGTTGATACTTAGTTGGATGTGGGTTTCCGTCAACATCTACCAGAAATGGTGGTGGCATAAGGTGAGGAGCTTGTTGTGTTTGTTCATCGAGGACATAATTATTTGCATCGCGACAAAGGGGTCTGAAGTCTGTGTGGAAGAACATTTGATCTGGAATCTGAAGAAGAGACAAATCTGCATTACTAGGGTTTACATTAGGGTTGTCAAGGCTCTGGCTCCATTGTCTGGAGATAGAGTATAGCTGACCGAATTTTTATATCCACACTAGCTAGACCTTAGTTATTGGAGCTGGAGCATTGCTGAAACTAGAACAGGGGTGATCCCTGGGGGCAGGAGTTGAAATTCTGCAAATGCCCTTTTCAGTACTACTTCACATGACTGTCATACACTTAACCACTTGAAGACCAGGTGTTTAGACCCCCTTCCCATCCAGGCCATTTTTCAGTGTTCAGCGCTGCGGTACTTTGACTGACGTTTATTCCGTCATGCAGCGCTGTACTGAAATGAATTTTATAATTTTTTTTGGGGACAGATAGAGCTTTCTTTTGGTGGTATTTAATCACCACTGGGGGTTTTATTTTTTGCTATATTAAGGAAAAATGATTTTGGGGAAAAAAAGGTTTCTTTTTTTACATTATGTTAGGAAACAATGATTACCCATATTTTTGGTAAAATATAAAAGTCGGGGTCACGCCGGGTAAATAGACACCAAACATGTCAAGCTTTAAAATTGGGCGCACCGGCGAAATCGCAAAAAACTACCATACCCAAAATTGGCCATAGGCGACGCTTTAAAAGCTTTTACCGCTCATCAGTTCAGTGTTATCAGTGATTGATGGCCCTAGAATTATTGTTTTCATTCAGACGTTCGCGACGATATGCAACGTGTGGTGTAATGGGTGCAATCGTCGTTTTTCGCACGTATGCGCACCCGACGCATGTTTGCATGCGTGTAGGGGTGGGACTTGAAAAAAAAAATGTTTTTTAATTCTTTTTTTTTTGTGCAACTTACATTTTTTTGGGGAAACTTTAATTTTTTTTTTTTCCACTTAACTTTTTGGCTATCACGTAGGGGGGCTAAGAAACCCCCCTACGTGATAGCAAAATATGTGAAAGGTCCTCTTTATGGAGACATCAGGGGTCTCCAAGACACCTAATGTCACCTAGGACCCCCCTGAAGAAGCTGATGAAGCAGACATCTGCTTCATCAGCTTCTCTCCAGCATCTGAAGCTGGTGAGTGACAAGAATTCTGAAGTGATGTAATATACACCACTTCCGCATTCTGACAACGGAGAGGAAATCTGATCCCCTGTCCGAGAGGCACTATGCTGGTCCCGGGCTCGCACCGGGCACAGCGGAGCCCGGGACCAGCGTGACGGGGGGGCGGGGGAGCACATACCGGGACCTCATACTAGCGATCCGTCAGCTCTATAGCCAGCGGATTGCTTGTATGTTAACAGGCATCGCTGCTCGTTTTTAAATTTTAAGACTTTCCCTCTCCCGCGCACATGGCTGAGCGGACATGTAAAGACGCCCGTTTCAGATCTAGAAAGCTCCCGGCCGGCCATTTTTTTACAACGGCCGGCAAGCGGTTAAATCACGGGTCAGTATGCAGATCATTTTGCAATGGCACAAAAAAAATAAATGACTAAGTCCAACTATTTTCATGTAAGTAAGGAACTATTCTCCTCTCTCATGAATGAGATTTGCTATAAAGACTAATTCCAGACAAAATTGCATCTTCCTGTTCCAGGGACAACCTTACCCTTCATTGTCAGAGATGGGAACTCTCTGGAGAAATCTTACAAGATCTCTGGGCAGCTGGGAGTTTCCTCCACTTACAGTGGCCAGAGTAGCAGCCACTCTGTAGAGAGGGACTAGGCTGTGCTGTCTTCTCCTCTACCCAGTGAGGACACATGCGGCCACAGGGAAAAGCCAACTACAATCTGCTGCTGGACTAAAGGCCTGAAATAAGCAGCAGGAAAAAGTGAGCCCAACACGCTAGACCCCAGTTAATGTCATTGCCTATGTGTTGGAAGGATTGCCCATAGTAACCAGATTTTTCTTTTCTTCCCATCAGTTGCATAGAAACATGTTCCTAGGATAATGGGGGGTTTGCTTGTTTCACACTGCCAAGGATACTTACGCTGACGTCAGAATATTCAGTTGCTGAGCAGGTCCAACAAAATCAAATATCAATGCTCTCACCAAGCTGTGGAAATTGGAAAGTTCCATCAAAGGCGCACTTACCTTTCAAGTAGTAAAAAGGCTTTTGGAACTATAACACAGACTGCATATAACCCAAAACCCTTAGGCATGTCAACTGTGTCCTCAGTATGCATTTCGAAGCTTAATTAAAGCAATGATTGGACTTACCTTATCATAGGTTTTACTGCTGCCAAAGCCAAAAATTAGTAGATGCCCATGAGAATCTGTAGCCGCTATGTGCATCCCATCAGAGGACAGTTTGCAGTCCAAAATGGCACCGTGGCCTTGCCCTTCAATCTTGAATTGAAAAATACAAAATAGAGTAATTTACTGCTTGTGATTACAAATACCCATTTCAATGGCATTATTTCCTCATCTGCTAAAACAAGAGTTTATTGAACTTCAAGAAATAGATATTTTTACGCTGAACGCTATGTAAATGGCTGTTCTGTGTAAAGCCCACCCTGATGACTTTATATTCCCCTTTCCAGTACTCTTCCACAATATTCCTTCCTCTGTTGCTGCCGCCAACAAAATATATGTGTCAGGGCCTCGTAACTGGCTTTTAGGCCTGAGCACTTCATCATGGGAGACAGCCACATACTGTCCTATGTTGGAAATACAACAGCATATATGTATTAGGGGGTCTACTTATAATCGTGCCCGATATTTACAGTTTTTCTAATTATCGGTTATCAGCGTGGAATCCAAGGAGCCGGACCAGCTTGGAATCCAAGGAGCCGGACCAGCTTGGAATCCAAGGAGCCGGACCAGCTTGGAATCCAAGGAGCCGGACCAGCTTGGAATCCAAGTGTTTTTCCACATAGTGCTACTAAGGATCACGGGAGGACGCAAACTAGCGTTCTCCTGTGACCCAAAGCTCAGTATACGGCAAGCTACAGCTCACGGTATACTGAGACCGCCGCAGCCAGGACAGATCCCGACATTACTGTAGAGATCCACCCAGCTGCGTGATTGACAGCTGGCTCTGCCTATCTAGATGCAGAGAAAGCTGTACCCTTCCCCGTCTGTTCCGCCAGCCAGCGCTGGAGGATCGGGGAGGGGGGGAATCCCTGCAGGGAGCCATGGCTCTCTGCAGGGAGATGATCGAGAAGTGAGCGAGCAACGGTATGTGTTCGCTCACTTCCCGATCTATTTAGCCGACATGTGACAGTTTAATTGTCACAAGTCGGCTCGAACTATGAGGCTGAGTGTTTTTCTCTCACCTCATAGTTCTCCTTTAACCCCTTCGTGACTGACGACGTACAGTGTACGTCGCCAGCATCGGGGCTGTTTAAACAGACTCCCGGCGACTTTTGCCGCCGGGACTCTGTTTAAACTTGTAGAGCCGACTGTCGGCTTTACA